GAGCTCATCAGTATCTTGTAATTATATTTCATATTCCTTATTTATGCTTGATAAATCTTTTTCTTAATTTCTAGGTCTTTTGTTCTTATTATTAACTTTTTAATCTAATTTACGTATTATTCATAATTAAATACCTAAATTTCTCGAAACTTAGATATATACTATTTTTTATTGGAAAGTTCATGTTTCGCTAAAAAATCTCTTGGATATAGGTAAAAATTAATTTATTTGATTTATTCTATATCGTAACCGTAGAATACGTCTTTGTAGTAGTAGTGCACTTATTTTACTCTATCTTATTAATTCATAATCAGTAATGACACATTGTATATTGCATTTTATATATATTTCCTTTATGGCCTTAATCAAACCTTAGCTTAGAATTAAGCCTAATTATTTATAATATTAAAATGACGAATTTAACCTTAAATTTAGTTTAAGTATGTTTAGAAGCGCACATATTTTAAGAGTAAATGCTCTTGTATATATAATAAATTAAAAACATGCCAAGGTGTCTAGGCTAAAAAAAGACTCTTATTAATCTATCGTTGAAGCGAAGTCATAACGAAAATCAAGACATTCGAACTGAGTATGAACTGAGTATAGTATTAACAATAAATAAATTTAAAGTAAAATATAAAAATGCGTGATAATGCTAAATTAAAACTAAATTTAAATAAATTTAAATGTTTTTATTTAAGATTTTTCACTTGCTTAGGCAACATGCTGCTATAAATTGATGGGCATATATCATCACTTGGCTATCTGCCAGGGCACAGTCATGCTCACTGAAGATATCGATCACATATCCAGCGAATGCGAGACCCAATACAGCCTGGCAACAGGGTGTTAGAACTGCAACTTCAGTCCAGAGGCGAAGAAAACCAATGCAATCTCCTAGCGCCAAACGAACATAGGCATAGTCGCCACCCGAATCTTGCAACATGCAACCCATTTCGGCATAGCAATAGGCTCCTAAACAAGATAACAATCCTCCTGCCAGCCAGACACCCAGACTAGCACCAATACTGCCAACAGCGACCGTTACCCCTTTGGGGCTGACGAAGATTCCCGATCCAATGATTGTTCCGATAAGAAGCCCAATGCTGGAAAACAAGCCTACTCGCTTGTCCAAGTGTATTCCTTTAGTTTCCTTATCTTCTCCTTCTGTGGGCAATACTGTAGTCGATAAAGGAGCCAGATTGCTTGAAGCGATGTGGCTGACATTCATCTTGTTCAGTTGAATGCTGACCTCGGAATCTGGATTTGCAGAGTTATAATCTAATTGGTGAAGTTTCGATGCAGGTTTCGCAGTTGAGCAAGTATTAATGGAAGCTGGATCTAACACGACCGCTCTTCTTAAAGAAGAATTGACATTACCACTTTGTTGTGGATAAGCCAAATCTGGACAATTTGATGTAGATTTACAAGGGGCTGATCCCTTGAATTGGATTGCAGTAGCATGTAGACTGTGTTTGAGGCGATTTCGCATCTCATTCATATATGAAAGTACAAAATAGCATTTACTAAAGCAGAGCTAATGCTGCACAGTGTTAGCGATGATGAAGAAATTATAGAGTAGGTACTTCCTTCGTTAATAGGACTGTCGAGAAGAAACCTGGACGCTCCTGATCCAACACTTAAACAATCAGCAAGCTATGCGCTTTTATGCATCGGCCTGTACGAACAAGCTCAGAAATGACTTTTGCTCTCACTAGATGTGACATTTGCGGACACCTTTTCCTATTATTTAAGCCAAAGAACAATAGTTATTTTTTGAAACCGTAAGTTCTGCATAGCTTTCTGGCAATACGGTGCGAAGCGTATAATCGGAAGCGGTTGAGTGAGAGAGTGATTGAGAATTTAATTTGAGATCAAATGCTAGAAAAAAGGCGAATAAAGTGACACAGAGATGAAGGACGACGCTACCTTTTCTTGATTGACTCAAGTCTAATAGCACCAACTTTGATGCGGAGACGAGAAAAAAGCCTAATGGACAAATCTGCGAGAATCTCTGTCTCGTGTGATGGATCTAGTCTATAGCCTGCCCATCCTCATGCATAGATAATCTTGTAGGTGCATGCATTCATGCCTTGACAAGAATACATAGCATGAATAAGGGTATTCGAAAGAGTGACAATTGTATAATGTATCACTCTCATTCTTTGAGAATAAACTACTGCGATTTCAACGCTACATGCACAAACGCAACGAGAACGAAATGCTTAAAGAGTGACAGCTGAAAATACTAAGGGCTAATAGCAGATCACTTACATCTTCATATATATGTGTATAACATTAAATGAAAATATGCAAATAACTTAGATATACATAATAATTAATAGTAAAATAGAAGAGATAAACGGGCAGAGAGAATTTT